GTCGTTGAAATAGAAAGCATATCACCCTTACTGCAATCAGAATTATCATCCTCGACCACGTTCACAGACTTGGATGAGCCATTATGCTTCTCATCAGTCTGTTTTTTCAACTTCGGACAGTCTCGCTTCATATGTCCCGCCTCCTTGCACTTGTAACAGTGAATCGTCTTCTTATCCCTGGATTTGGATATGGAATTCCGCTTCCCGGACCCTGCCTTCTCTGGCTTCCGTCCACGATCTCGATTACCCTTAACATATAAGCTATCGGCTTGAGAGCTTTCCCCTGTATTCTGCTTCCGCTGGTTGTGAGCCAACAAGGCTGCAGTAATCTCCTCAACGTTGATAGTCTCTTTCCCATATGTAAGAGTAGTCACCATGTGTTCGTAAGAGGGAGGCAACGAACACAACAGAATCATCGCTCTGTCTTCATCCTCAATTTTCACATCAAGCCGAGCCAGATCAGAAACGATTTGATTGAAGATATTCACGTGTTGCGCCAAATCGTGATCGTCCTGCATCTTCAGTCCATACAGCCGCTGCTTCAGATACAGTTTTGTCGTTAAGGATTTGGACATAAACTGACTTTCCAACTTCCTCCAAATTTTGTCTAGAGACGATAGATGCATGACGTGATACATGACCTCGTCTGCCAAGCATAATCGTATGGTTCCTGCCGCTCGCTGCTGTAATTCTTCCCAATATTCCTCATCCATCGACACCGGCTTTGTAGGTCGCAAAGCCTTCAAGATCCCTTGCTGCGCCAATAGATCATTCACCCTCGTTTGCCATAATCCGAAGTTACCCTGACTATCGAATTTCGCGACTTCGAATTTTGCTCCTGACATCTGATACCAATTATTGACGAAAACGGGTAAAGAAAACAAAAGAACACGAGAATTTTACGAGGTTCGGCAATGTGCTTACGTCCTTGGTGCCTAGGCGGCGCTAGAAGTTTTATTCAATGATTTTTTAGGTCTATGTTACATCTCTATTTATAATAGAAAACCCTGGTACATAATTACAAAATCAACCATGTACCGTACCGCGGGGGCTGCGCCCCCAACCCACATAATCCGTAACCCATTACTGGTATATTTATGAGCCATACCTAACAAATATATATATACCTACACATTAACATCACATTGGTGATTACACCGACAACATTAACATAAAAATAAAGGTAAATTATATAAATAGTCACCAATGTTTAAGTAATTTTTCATTTTTCTCACTGAAATTTCAAAAGTAAAAAAAAATAGTCAATAATATTATCGATTTATAAAAAAATGATCATTAATATCATCAATTTATAACAAAATCATCACTTTACCGTCACCACAGTTAAATTGATTACGTGTAAACATTAAAAAATGTTAATATTTAATCTACTGGTAAAACATCAAATAAACTCTTAAACAATGATTTTATATCAAATTTATCCCAACTTTTTTTTTTAATTTTCAGTTCTTTCCAAACACCTCACCACCTTTACCGTATTCAGAAATTAATTAAAAGCTCTCTTAGAAGCCAATCATCTGTTAGCCATTGTTGCAATTTGTCCTTTAAAAGCTCTTGCAAAAGCCAATCATTGGTTGAAGAGCAGGTACCGAGTTTGGACGAAACGACTTTAAAACTCGACATTTCAGTTGTCACACTAACAACTGTTTCATTGTTGGAATAAATCCCGAATTTAAAACACGAAACCCTTGTAAACCTAGATCCTTGGAAAGGCTGATATGAATGTTATTCCATATATTTGTGTTCTCAAGGTTAAGGTTTATTGCTCTATAATGCTTATGAAACCAGGAGAGTGGAAGACGGTTCCTGAAAAAACTTCATCGTTTATGACATGAATATTTTTTTCCATGGCGAAGGCAATGAGGTCCTTGAGCTAAAAGGTGGCCTGCTATCACAAGGAAATTTGACAGTTTATTGTAGTGGTGTTGTAAATATATAGTACAGAATCACTAATATGCAAATACTAAAGTAGTTTTAAAGACATTCTGTCTTTAAAAGAGACTCTACCATTGTTGTAAATTAGAAAGCTTTTCGGAAAAAAACTGAAAATTAATTTCTAAGTATAGTGGAGGTGATGGGGTGTTTGGAAAAAACTAAATTTTTGTGGGTAAAATAGATATAATATCACTGTTTAAGGACCTATATATTTGATGTTTTAACAGTAGTTTAGGAGTAAAATTAAATATTAATCTTTTTTTTAATATTAAGTTATTAACCATTTTGTTACAAATCGATAATGTTAGTGGCCATTTTATTATTATTAAAACTTCGATGAAAAAAATAAACTTATTCAAATATTAGTGACAGTTTGTGTAATTTATACTGAAAATAAATATAACAATAACTATACTTAGACCATTTATTTTATTACAATTTAAATACGTCCTATATGAATGATTGTGTATAACAAACAATAAAAAGAAAAAAATCAAATAAAAAAAATTAAAAAAAAACATTAACTTAAAAAACAGCATCAAATTTACATCTGAAAATAAAAGATTAAAAAGAACGAACTACAAAATAAAATAAAAAATACAATTTTTATATGAAAAAAGGCTTAAATTGGATTAAGCTGGATTTGAGCCTAAAGTTCTGTTCAGGGCTACGGCCCATGGACGTGTCGGACTTAGATTTATAAGTCGTTTTGTATCCGAGAATCACACTTCACTGGTTCTTAATAACATCGAGTCAAACAAACCCATGGCTTCAGCTTCATCGTCCTCCCCTGCTTCTACGGACCCCAAGCTCGAATTAACCAAGCAGGGTTTTTTTTTCTCCTTGTCTTTTCCTTTTACTTTCCTTCATGCTTTTATATTCATGGGATTTTTTTTTCTTTTGGGTGTCAGATAAGAACCCATGAAGTGGCCATAGCAGAGCTTGGCAGTCTATCTTCTTCGAGGGTACTTTCTAATGAAATTCAACAATTACCCTCTTGTTATTTTTACGTTTTTTATCCAAAGTTTAATACTTTTGTTCTTAGATCAATCTGGAGTTTCAAATGGTTAGAATGTCTGATTGACACTAAGAATTCTCATGGTATTACTTTTATACTCTGAACTAACTAGATTAATTGAAGCTGGCTAAGCTGCCTTTTCCATTACCCCTGGTTGATGGAAAACTTAGTTTGAGTTTTGATATTTATTTATGTTCGTATCACTTGTAGGGTTGTGTTGATATAGATGGTTAGGGTTATCACCATAGGTAGCTGATTTAGGTGTGTTTTTACCAGGATTTATGTTAATTTAGATATAGATGGTTAGGGTCATCACCATAGGTAGCTGATTTAGATGTGTTTTTACAAGGATTTATGTTAATTTAGGGTTTTCCTGGGTGGTAGGGACATGGGGGATTTATGTGTTATTGTGGAGTTCTTGATGTTGCCTGTGTTTAATTACGAATTTACGATGCTATAGGTAACCGAAAATAGTTCTTTCTGAATGTGACACCGTGATTAATGATGTTTGTGTATCGGTTCATATAGAACGTCTTAGAAAATTCAAGACAATCAAGCATATCTAACTTTGAATGAGAACTGATTGCTTCTTTGTCTACTACCTAGCATTACCTTCTATCGAACGCCTGCTACAGAACGGGGAGTAGATTTCCCTTTTTTTAGGCAGTATGTGGGTGGGAATTTTTAGTTAGTGCTGATGATGCAATCTGGCATTAGGAAATACCTCGGATCGTAATGTTTCCAATGTTAATTATGAAGTTAACTAAGCGAATGTTACTGCTCTGTGTGCTCTGCACCAGATCAGGCTTGAGATAGCCAAAGAATGCTGGAAAGTTACAAGATTGGAGGGTTGTTACGTTGATTCAAAATAGATGGATCATTAACTTCTCCAATTGTTAATTCTTTGAATTAAACGAGTGTGTGTAGGTACTGCACATAGGAATTGAGTTTGAAAATCAAGTGAAGATCCCCTTGGAATCAGGACACTTATTTTGTACGAGGGTCCAGTATGTACGCTGCTAGGTCTATTACAATTAGAACATGTATGATTCAAAGATCCCATGTAGGTCTAGTTGTCATCATTAAACCGAAATTTTCTGAACTAGATTCTTCTCAATATACAGTAAAATAATGCAACCCTGCACCCTGAAAAGAAAAAAAGTAGCATAAACAGGCGCTTTCGACTTCTGAGTACATTCAAGATAGTCTGTTTTCCCCTTAATTGCAGACTGCCTATCAGAAAAATGGGAATTTGTTTTACCGCAAAACTGTTCAGAAAGCAACATCGTCCGAGGAAAGTAAGAAATCTTTTTCTTACTGCATGATCATTTCTTCAGAATTATACAGCTCTAGTGATGGTTTTTTCCTTCTTTGTTGGTTAATAAATGACAGAACAACTGGATCAGGCAAAAGCTAAGCTAGAAAAGCTGAATTCTCATTGATTGCACTTGGCCTATGCCGGTTTCAGCTTCCATGACTTGGATTTGCTGCCTTATATCATCCCCGGTTGTAATTTTGAAGTTCAGGGTTTTTCCTAGGGTTGAAGTCTTATTATTTGTCACCAACAAGAAGAATGAGTCCTGAAATTTTCCATTGAAACTCTTCTGAAAGATTTCCTGTCTATTATTTTTTTAATGCAACATGCAATGTGATGGAGTGAGACTTGAACATTTCCTGTTCCTAAAAACTAATTACAATGTATCATAATGTCCATCAACAGGCTTTATTGAAAAGAAAGAATGCTGGATCTCAACCATCTTTAACACATAAATTCGCCATTTCCAAAAAGGATTTCCCTGAAATGCAATGGGGAAGTTTCGATGGCACAGACAAGAATGAACAAAGAAGGTTAAGTTGGGGAGAAATGAGGAAACAAATATCATACGTTAACAAAGCCTTCTACAATGAAGTTCAAGAGATTTACTTCTGATTATTAAGCAAACTTTCATGACATTATTCTATACAAACTGAACAATAAACTTATCTCATCTACGATAGACATAATTTTTGAATTGAAAAACGCTCTACTCATCAATCTCCAATCTCTTCACACGATGTTTGAATCCAAACGGTTGCGACGGTCACAAGGGATGCATAAATCGAATTGGGTACCTTCTGCACCATTCTGCCAACACCAGGAACGCCCTCAGTCGCCTTCTTTGCTGCCATAGCTACGGTTGGAGCGGCAACCAAAGCGACAAGCAGTCCCCGACTAACAACAGAAATGGTGTCGGGCGTAAGCCTCTGAATGAATTTCAAAAATTCATTGTTGTCGATTTCTCCATCAAGGTTCAAGTCACATTCCTGCATAGGAGACAATGAATCCTCAAAACATTTTCAGTGCAGCAAACTATAGTGTGTGTATATATATACACGAAAAGAGAGTTTTTTTTTTCCATTGCAGAATACCTTCATTATTGATCTGATTTGGTCCTTAGAGGGTGGATCAATGTGAGGCCCAGGCAAACGCTTATTAATATCACTATAGAAGGAATAATTTGAAGATCATTAAATTTTGATAAAAAGATAAACAATATGGAAATTAATGAAACAAAATTCCTCACTTATACACCAGCAAGACAGCAATATACAGATCTTCAAACGTTAGATTACGTCTTGCTGCCTGATTTTTGACACGCTCAAAAACCCTATCACTGATTCTTCGAATCTGTCTCTTTCTCCATTCCTTCCCTGCCAAAAAAAAAAAAAAACAAGCATGAAACTATCAAATGCACACCGAAACCATGAAAAAACACTTATTCAAACTCAATACTTACAATAGTAAACAACATTTCCAGCCAACATGAACATCTACCCAGAACAATTCTTGATACCCATCTCTTCAAAGTGATCAATAAAAATTAATTTGGCCCTCACTTGTAAAACAATAGAAATTGGAAATCAAAATTTTTATAGAAAACAAAAGGTAAGATCTTCTCTGTTTCGTTTCCATATAATTTATTCTTTTAAAAAGCAGCCTACCGGTGAAAAAAAAAAAATAAAGAGCACCTTTTTAATGGAATGTAAATCAAAACAAGGCTTACCATGAAATTTGTCTAAGACTTGTCCCATGACTTGAGAAACAAGGTATCCTTTCGGAGATTCTAAGGCTTCAGCTTGTCGATGGCATAAACATGAAAGCAGATTGCACGATGGTGAAAGAAAGATAAAGCATTTGATACGATGATGTTTCAGTGGAAAATATTTTTAGGAGTGACGTGGCGCATTGCGGTTGGATGATAGTCAGGAGTAATGTATGGCAAGTTTACTTTGCAGATTGCAATCTTCACGTTTTTATTAATACCATATTTAATATATTAATTAAATATAGTTTAATATAATTCAGATTAATGAAAAAAAAGGAGTTTGTTGAACCGGTGAATCAGATCCGGATCATCCGGTCAAATCTTAAAACACACATTCTTTTTTGGGTATTTCAAGGAGCATATATCGGATCCTCCTGCAACCCTTCACGTGGTGCTTCATGGCTTCACCTGCTTTCATTGGCTGTTCTATTTAGGGTCGAGAATATTTTTATTCAATTCGATTTCCGGTTTTCATATTAATTTTAATAAAATATTTTTATTATTGGATAAAATTTAAAATTATTTTTTGAATTATATAATAATTTAGTCCAAGTATTATGTAATAATAAAGTAAATTATTTCGTAAAACTGTATCTCAACTAAGTTTTTATTTGTAAATCTATTTTAGTTTTTTTTTTAAATATCAATCTAAGGGAGGGGAAGGAGAATTTTGCTCCTAACGAGTATTGAAACCACAAACTAGGGGAGAAAAAAAGTGTCAACTGAAAATTTTTAACTATCTGCTCTAAATATTGTTGATGTAAATCTATATTAATTAAGTTCTTAAATTTAAAAATATTTTTTTGACAAAATGGATTCACTAATTTTATTAAAAATTAAAAATATTTAAATTACAATGAAGGTTTATAACCACATCCGTAAACTAAACACATAGTAAGAATATTTTTCATATAATTATTAACATAATAAACTAACCATTTAAGATTACACGAGGGTCATATAAAGAAAGTATTAAAAACCTAATTAAATAAATAGGAATAAAAGGTATATCAGACTAATCAGCAAACAAAACAAAAAAAAGATCAAGCAACTATCAGCTCATTGGTTATTAAATAGTTTGATTGAATAAAAATTAAATTATAAGATTATTCATAAAGCGAAAGACAATTTATATTAGTCGATAATTTAAATAAGTATGTGGTCTATAAAATTATTTCAGATAAATAATTCAAGTTAGGATTGTTTTATCATCTACTCTAAAGTTCGAATATAAGATAATTTGTCTTAGCTATTGGAGTCAATGGTGAATATAAGGTTTGTTCAGAGTGGGCATGCCGACGTTAGAATTCGATTTCTTATAATAATTTTCTAGTTTACTATTGGTGTTCACTATAAAATTTTATTTATACTCACCCCATATAATTTTTTTTATTAATATATATGTGTCAACCTTTAAAAATATTTCAGATCCACTATTGAAAAAACATTTTGACCGTTGAATAGAGACATATATATATATATATATGCTTGATAGAGTTAGACAACACATTAAATCAGACTCAAGATGAACTAATCTTAAATTTATTTAAAAATTAATTTCACTTGTAAACTATATAGTATATTTACCTTAATCTAAAGTAAATATAGAAATATGTATATATAACTTGCATAATTTGATATATCAAAGTAATATGATGATTTTCGATATGTTAGACGTATAACACACATTACATAATTACATTTATATATATATATATATAATCATTTTCATCGTATGATTTAAAATAAAATATTGAAATAAAATTGATTAGATCAAGTAGACAAATAAAACTTAGAGGATCACACATATCAATAAGAATAATATATTTAATTATGATAAAATCGTTGGAGAAAGGCTACAAATGAACTTAATTTTCAGTAATTTTATATGTTTGAAGGTTCAGTCCTGCTACTTAAATAAATAGAATAAAATCATCACCGCTTCAATCTCTAAAAATAATATATCTGAATTATGTTTATAAAACTCGAATCTTGATTTCATTTTGTCATTTTTTTGTGTGGCTTCATCGATTAGGTTGTTCACAGTTTTGCTTTTATTATATGATGATAATGTTCTTGTGATAGATAGGTTAACACAATTAAATGTCCGAAGCCTCAAGTGAAAAGTCCTAGTGATGTTACCATTTTATATTTTTATTAAGAATATCACATTTTAACGCATATATTTATTTATTTATTTATTTATTACATCAAACATTTTAATTCAGTAAACATGATTTATACAGAATTATAAAGTCATATATCAAATTAATTTAATTTTAGATTTGTATAAATAAAATATTGTATTTCTTTTCATCACCGAATTAAAGATATATAAAGTTAGTTTTTCCCCTACTGCTAGAATATTCTCTTGGAGACGGGGATAACACAAAGTTACAACAAGAATAAACAATACTAAAAACAAAACTAGTTCAGGAATGATAAGATGCATATATATGATGTTAAAAAGACGAGAAAGCAAACAACAATGGCGGGCGAAGTAAAGATGTTGAACATATGGTCATCCCCTTTCGGTTTAATGGTAGTTTGGGCGTTGAAGCTCAAAGGCATATATATGGTGAACAATACGAGTCCAACAAGAGTGCTTTGCTTCTTCACTGCAATCCCATCTACAAGAAAATCCCAGTCCTCGTCCACAACTCCAAACCCATCTCCCCAACACCCTTACGAGCCAAGGGAAAGAACGGGAGGAAGCCATGGAAGCAGCGGTGGAGAACCTGAAGTTTGTGGAGGAGGAGCTGGAGGGAAAGAGATTGTTCGGGGGAGATGAGATGGGGCTGGCGGATCTTGCTTTTGGTTGGCTTGGGAACTTGATCGGTGTTTTGGAACAACAGAGTGGTTTGAGACTGATTGACGGGAGGTTTCCGTTGTCATCCGCATGGATTTGGAGTTTTCGGAAATTGAGATAATAAAAGAAAGTTGGCCGTCTCACGACAAGCTCGTCGTCAAGTACCAAGCCCTTTACGAGAAACTCCATCCTCTAAAATGACAGGATTTTCCATGGATGGGGAGCTTATGTTATCATATGGATATGAATAAATTCAAACTGTTTTTTTTTTAAAAGGAAATTGTCAAGAAACAGAAGTTGTAAGAGTGGTGACAGAGCTCAGTGTTCCAATATCCATGGAGAATTCCACTTATTCGTTAAAATACAAAGAAATTCAAGTTATAAGCTTCACCTATCTTTATCGGTGTTCGCTGTTGGAGCTCAACAGATCAAAGACTTTCAAATGGTATCGGGCTACCTTGAACAATGTATTTTAAATTCAATATAGTTTTTACCAATTAATCAGTCATTTCTTTAATAACCAATCGTTAAAGTATATAATAAATTGATCATTAAATAATAAAATGAAATGAAAAATAGTTAAAAATTTAATTAAACAATTAAAAGTATTGGATATAAACAATCAAAAGTATCGGAAATGAAAGATAAATATGATCAATACTAAATATAAAAATACATATAAAAATAATAATATATTGATAAATTAATTTTATCTCAACTCAACCATGACTTATATTTGATGACTACGAGTGTTTATCAAATATCGATAAAAGAAAATTAATATGAGCACCTAAAGTAAAGGTAGATACAACAATGATGGATTTTGTAGGTGAGACGAGTGGATCCAACGTCCAAAGGGAGCAATCCAAGTCAATAGCAGACGGCATAAATTCAGATTTTTCTTCAAACAATTCATTTTGTTTTTATATTTAAAATAAATATTATTAAAAAAATGACACGATTCCTGGATCACGAACGAGTTTAATATAGTAATTTTTAGGTAATACTAATTTAATCCCTCGAATATTGCAGGTTACCATAGCCCAAAACCCAATACAAACGTTCGAAATTTTGCAACCCAAAACAGTTGCTTAATTATGAACCAAAAAGGGGTGCCTTTAAGATCCAAACCAAGAGGCAGCCGCTGCATATATCTATCCTTTCTTCTTCCTCTCGCTTATTGCAGAGAATCCCTCTGATTTCTGTCTCCTGGATTACAGATGTTTACTTTGAATCTCATACCATCCTCTCCCGTCGCTTTCTCTAAATCCACTCATCGATATCATCCCATAAAAAGGATCCAAATCCCCCATAACTTTACTCACTCTCCCGTTCTTCTCAACAAATCCACCCCCTCTCAGCTCCAATCTCTGCAACTCCAACAAAATCCATGGCTTCCCTTTGGGCAAGATCCAAGCTTTAACCACCAAAACAGCTCATTTCGGGAATATCCTTGAAATCCCGTCTAGGAAACCAGGATCCCATGTTCCCAAAGCAGCTGCATCATCCGAACCGAATCCAGAAGCCGAATCTGTTGAAGCCGCAGCAGCTAAGTCAAAGGCCAAAACTTTACAGCTCGCACTTGTGTTCGGTTTTTGGTACTTTCAGAACATTGTCTTCAACATTTACAATAAGAAAGCGTTGAATGTGTTCCCATTCCCATGGCTTCTCGCTTCTTTTCAACTCTTTGCCGGTTCAATTTGGATGTTGGTCCTCTGGTCTTTAAAGTTGCAACCTTGTCCCAAAATCACAAAGCCTTTCATTATCGCACTCCTCGGACCCGCATTGTTCCACACAATAGGCCACATCTCGGCCTGTGTTTCGTTCTCCAAAGTTGCCGTTTCTTTCACACATGTAATCAAATCATCGGAGCCCGTGTTTTCCGTTGTTTTCTCTTCGTTCCTCGGTGATACATACCCTTTAAAAGTCTGGCTTTCTATTCTCCCCATTGTTCTGGGATGTTCTCTAGCTGCAGTAACTGAAGTTTCCTTCAATCTCCAAGGCTTATGGGGTGCTTTGATCAGCAATGTGGGATTCGTGTTGAGAAACATTTATTCCAAGAAAAGTTTGCAGAACTTCAAGGAAGTGAACGGATTGAATCTTTATGGTTGGATCAGTATAATCTCTCTGTTTTATCTGTTTCCAGTGGCTGTTGTCGTTGAAGGGTCCCAATGGGTTCAAGGATATCACAATGCGATCCAAACAGTGGGGAATGCTTCCACATTTTACATGTGGGTTTTGCTCTCTGGGATTTTTTATCATCTGTACAATCAATCGTCTTACGAGGCGCTCGATGAGATCAGTCCTTTGACATTTTCTGTGGGGAACACGATGAAGAGAGTGGTGGTTATAGTTTCGACTGTGTTGGTGTTTAGGAATCCAGTTCGGCCTTTGAACGCACTTGGATCTGGGATTGCCATTCTTGGAACTTTCTTGTATTCCCAAGCTACAGCCAAGAAGAAGACCTCTGCTGGTGAAAAGAAGAGCTGAGAGGTTTCAGTAATTTCTTCAAAGTTTTAAACTTTTTTTGGGGTCTTTCATTTTCATGAGATTACATTTGCATTTTGCATCTTTTTCTTCCATCACTTTTTTTTATATATAAATGTTAATAAATGACCTTTATTTTGCATTCTTAATCTGCGCTTCTCTATTCCTGCATGCTTGCTTTGTGGGTAATATTAAATAAAACCCCATTTATCATTTTATTATAAAAACAACCCTCAAACGGCATTAATTAAAAAACATCCTTAAATTAAACACGTAGAAGTACCTCGCTTTCTACAAAAACATGTAAAGGTCTGATCTCACTTTTCACAAAACGCGAGGTCATCGTACGTGAAATTTTTTTTGATATTTTTCCGATTAACGTTGTTTGAGAGTTGTTTTTCCAATAAAATAATAAAGAAGATTTTTTATTTAGTAATGCTGCTTTTTGTTCAGGATTAAAGTGACGTCCAATCTTTTTATGCAAGTTTACCATAAATTAATCTTACCAACTAATTGTATCGTATAAATATAAATAAATCATAATCAACGAAACAATAAACCCTGAGTTTGAAGGAATTGGTAACCACCTACCGTTAGATGGTTGGTGTAATATATAACTTTATTATCATTTCTAATTCGTGGTGGTTGTTGCACCAACCATGTCAATCATGTAAAAATAAGTTGATAGGTTAAAAGTATTTTAATACGAGTTATTAAGTCAATAAGATTCATAAAAATACGACAATACCAAACACCTTAATGGCTTAATTATGAAATCGAGAATTACAGACAGTAGCACGATACACAATCCACATTGTTACTAGCAAATTTTAGAGCAGAAATGATAAAGAAGCAAACGAGAGACGAAAAATTATTTGATTTGCATAGCGTCTTGAATGGCGCAGAATATACTGCGCAATTCATGGGGCGGGGGAAGGTTTTGCGCAACGCTTGTGATTTGCAGAAAGTTCTTGATCCATGCATCTAAGCGGGGAAACTTTGTGGAATCCATTGCTTTGAAGCCCCCAACTTCTTCAATGAACTGCAACCAATACGCAATCCATCCGGCCACGATATCAAGGTATCCGATCTCTTCGCCTCCGCTGAAATATTTCTTCCCTTGAAGCTCTCCTTCCAATAAGTTTAGGGCCTCAGTCGTCGACTCCACCGCAATCGCTTGAGCTTCTGCCGTCGTCGCAAATGCTTTCCTCGCCGCTTCCATCAACTACACCCCCAACACTTGTAATTTCAAGTTGATTCAAACATAAATGATGAAAAAAGAAAAGACAAATCGTGGTTAACAAAGTACCAATCACCTTGTCATCAATAAACGCAGCCCAGAAACGGGCGTAAGCTCTCTGCGGAGGATCTTCGGGCAACAGAGGCCTCTGTTTCCATGTCTCATCGATGTACTCGAGGATGATTTTGGATTCGACGATGGGCTTACCACCATGAACGAGTACGGGAACCTTTTTGTGAACTGGGTTCAACGCGAGAAGCAATGAACTCTTATGAACAAGGTCTTCTTCAATGAACTCGTACTCCACGCCCTTCAGCTTCAGTGCCCACAAAACTCTTACGGTAAACATGCTTTGCCTTGTCCCCAACACCTTCAAATCTTCTGCACCTGCCATGGTTTTCTTGGAAAAAGAAAGATATTTACTGATTGCGGGAATGAAGGGATTAAAACACACCTATATACATAACTTTTATTAATACAAAATTAGCGTTTTCTTAGTTGTTTACGGGGAAGACGACCTAAGTCAATAAATATTGATATATTAATTGTCAACAAAATAGGTTTATATTTTAATAATTATTTATACACGAATGATGTAAATGGACGCACCATGGAATATGATTCGGAAAAGAAAAACCCAAATGCATAAAGTTTCAATAATACTAATTAAGAAAAAGATACTTGTATAATTGTTGTAACAGCAAAAAGCAAAAGAAAAAAGAAAAAGACGCACCATGGAATATGATATAAAAAGAATAATCCAAAAGCATAAAGTTACAATAATATTTAATTAAAAAGAATTGTATGATTATTGTAACATAAAAAACTTGTAACACGAATCAGCTTATCTTAGTAGAAGTTAAGAGTTCGAGCTTCAGTAATTACAGTAGGGTGATTGAGCAGTCATTGTCAAATAGTTGAAAGTATTTAGAAAATATAATATTTTATAATTATCTTAGCTTAATAAAAAAGAACTTGTATAATTTGTTAGGTTTAGGATCACAAAAAACTGTTTTTTTTATATAAATAGAACAAAATTTGCTAATTTTATTTAAAAATTAAAATTACAATGAATGTTTTATAATTGTAGACGTAAATTAAGCATACAATTACGATAATTTTTATAACTATTGATATAATAAATTAGTCATTTAAGATCATATATGAATCATATAAGGAAAAATTAAAAATCATCCAAAAAATCCAATAAAATATAAATGCACATAAATCAGAGTCGAGTATCGTAAGAAAATTATCTCTAAATGTTAATCGTATATTCAAATTCAATCGAATGGTCTAAAGCACGAAAAATTAATAAGATAACAAATAAGTATCATCTTGATCAGTCGAATCAATATAAAATCTAACTTTAAAAAATTAAATAATAAAATAACTAAAATGATTTATAAAAAAATAGAAATATATCAAAAGAAATAAAAACGTACCTTAGAAACCCGGTGAATGAATTTATTTGACTTAATATCACTTTAGTTGACTTATTATTATTTCTCAATTCTTTCTTTCGTGGGCCCTCGTCTAATTTTTTTTTTATAAAAGCCCTCTTCTAATCTTAAATATTTAAGAGCCATCCATTGGCAAAATCAGTCCAATAAGCCCAATATCATAGGTGGGCGAATTATTTAGCCTAATACAATACAAAGCCATTTATTTAGGGATCTACAGTATTTGTTATATTCGATTTGATGATTTTCAAAAAAAATATTTTTTATTCAAACTTTTCACTCTGGTTTGATAAAATTTAATTAAAAAATATATTTTATTAAAAATTATCATCTAAACATAACAAGTTTAAGTAAAAAATATTATTTAAATAAACACGCCACTTTGATATGATAATTTTCTTGAACAATATAACAAATATCATAAATCCCCAAATAAACTTTTATATGTACTGTTGGGCTAATTAATGAAACTGTTTGCTCAGTGAAAAAAGACCGCCATTGAACTGCACGCCTTAGAAACCTAGTGAATGAATTTGGCCCATTTTTAGCAATGAACTAATAAAGTCCATATTTTGAACCAACAAAATTAACAACATATTATGATTTACAAAATTCATCTATCAATTCCCAAACACAGAATCATTTAAAATTATTGTTAAAGGTTAAATTTTCTAAACAATTTTAATGTTAAAAGGAAATATTATTTTTTTAAAAGTTTTGAATTCGAATAATTGTACGTCTACACGATATATCCACGTACGATGATAGAAAATGTAATTGAGGGGGAACAATGGAAGACGAATTACAATGTAAATAAAGCACATGAATTCGGTTATTCGACTGCTCCTTAACTATATGTTTACAAACACAAATATTGGGAATGACAATCATTATTTGAAGCTATTATTTTCATCCGCCACGGACAGCAGTAAATAAACCAACCTCTCACGGCCCTGCAAAACACATACAACCATGTGTCGGTTTCCCTTTAAGCTTGAAACAGTTAATGAACAAGAATGATTTGCAGGTAGAACGTGCTTTAGAAATGGTGGTTTGCATGAAACAATAAATCAAAATATATGTGTGTGAGAGAAGAAACACACTTTCTACAACCAACCATATGTTGGTGCGACCATTGCTAGACGGAATCGATTTCCAGGTCCGTAACGTGTTTGATCTTCGGCCATTCTGTACCGTGCTCTTGGCATTGTTGTACAAGCAGGGGACATCCATGGATCTCCAAATGTTGAAGAGATGAAGGTAGTCCAACCTCGGGAAAGGACTGAATCGAGGGGCAATCCTCCAAATACAAGTCCTTGAGTGAGGCAAGGCTCGTTAATGTCTGTTCGGAACCTAGAGATTTCAGAATGCGACACGAGCCGATCACTAGACATTGGAGTGCACTTGGTAGCCCTTCATTGGGAAGTGATTCGAGCTTTGGACACCCTCGAACAGAGAGCAGTTGGAGAGATGACAAGCTTTTCAATGACCCTTCTTCTTCAGACAACGAAGACAGATCTTCACAGTCACTTATATACAGACTGTTAAGCCCCGGAAGATGTGGCAATCTTGGGAAGGAGGTAAGGTTTGAGATGTTTGAAATGACCAGGGAGTAGAGAGAGTTGCTACTTGGTATGTTCCTTACGAGTGCATCATTAGAGCACAATCCCAAAGCTAAATGCTGAAGTCGTTGCGACACCGGAAGGGCGGTCACGAGTTCACATCCTTTTATTTCCAGCTTTTGAGGAAAAAACATCCGAGGAAGTGCTCGGATGTTGGGGCAGTTCTCCATTTTCAACTCCAAAAGACCAATCAATGAAGGCCTAGGTTCACCTGCTCGGTTGCCTTGATTATCTACGGAAATAAGCCCACCTTCTCGCCAATTCTCCAGAACAAGATTGTCAGCAAGTATTAGAAACATCAGAGAAGGAGCAAATGGAAGAGCCTTGAGTGAATCACACTTTTTTATCTTCAGAGCTCTTAAATTGAACATCAATTCTGGAACCTTCCTTAGCTTGGGGCAGTTACTGATACGTAGTCTAGACAATGAATGACTTTGAGCTTCTGGCCATTCTTCCAGTTCCCGCATCCCTTTGATGTAGAGCTCTCTAAGGCAAGGTAACTGACCAACAGAGAATGTTGTGCACTTAGTGCAATGACTCAATGTGAGTTTTACTAAATTTGGAAGGAAACGATGACTTTCCGTCATCCATGACGGAAAATTAGAGCCCTTGAAATGATGAAGGGCCAGCTCTTTGAGATTAGAATGAGGCTGGAGGTCTTTGAGGTCCCTCTCTGCTCTGACTTCATCTTCTTGGTTGTTGAACTGTTTGTCACTCCATTCTAACGCCAGCTTCTCAAGTCTCTCCTTCTGGTTTAGCTTTGCCTCAGCTGCGTTCACCGCATTCTCCAGGTTGGATATATGCAGCTTTCCTGTAAGATTCTCCATGTCCTTCAACTCTCCGATGCCATGTCGGGTTTCACCTTTGAGTACTTGAAATGCATGCAGGTTCTGTAGTCTGCTTAAGTTTCCCAATCCTGGTGGCAGTGTCCTACATTTGAACCAAAACATCTCATCTAGCTCGAGATAAATCAGGTTAACCAATTTACCAAGGTCCTTGGGCAATTCAAAAAGCCAAAGGCACCCTAGAAGCTTAAGGGTCTGTAGATTCCACAGGTTACATACAGAATCAGGAAGCCTTTTGATCTCGGTCCTGGAGAGATCCAAGGAGCGCAATAGCTTCAACTCTTCAACCGAGCTTGGCAATTCCGAGATTGAGGTCGAACTTAGATCCAAGACACGAATGTACTTTAGAGAACGAAACATCTGGTCCAGAGCCTGCACTCCTATGCTTTTCAAGTACTCGCTAGGCAGTAGGAGCGTGCGCAACTTATTACATGTCTTAAAAGCCTGTTTGCAGGTTGGACTCTCTAATTCCTGGCAAAGAAATGAGACATGACGAGATTCTCGATCAAAAACACACGGCTCGTTATCCTTGACTTGGCAGCACTCCGGACTCGAAACCGATACTGCCAACTCATGGATAAGATCATGCATTTTGTATCTCTTTTTGTTATCAATGTCTAAAATTTGGAAGAAAGACCTCGTTAACAACTCATCAAAGTATTCGCATCCGGTCTCCTCTGCGCTACTTCGCCCTCTATGCTGTATAAATGCTTCAGCCATCCAAAGCTTGATCAGCTCCTTCCTGTCAAAAACGTAGGCCTTTGGAAATATAGAGCAATACGAAAAACACTGCTTTAAATAGGAAGGCAAGTCATCGTAACTCAATTTCAAGGCAGGCAAAATTTGGGGTTTATCAAGGCTTCTCTCGCCTTCTAGCTCCCATATGCTATCTCTTAAGATCCGCCTCCATTTGTCTACATCGACGTTACCGCGCAGGAGACCCCCCATTGCCTTCACAGCCAAAGGCAGACCATTGCATTTTCCAACGATTTCCCTACCGATACCTTCCAATTCCATTAGTCTGCGGCTCGGCACGTTATTGCAGTCTTTGAAAGCAATCCTTTTGAACAATGACCAACATTCCTCCTGGGGCAGATATTCTAATCTATAGGGAGTTTGGGTCCCCATAATGTCGGACACCCTGTCAGATCGAGACGTGACTAAAACTCTGCTACCTTTACCTCCTAGCTTCAAAATGTTTCGAAGCGGATCCCACTCTTGGTAGTTGTCAACCCAAACATCGTCTAGAACAAGCAGGAAGTTCTTGCCGGCCAAGATGTCTTTGAAGCGTGACACTAGGCCGTCAAAGGACAAGTTGTTAGAAACCTCCATTTGAGTGTGGAACTCTATAATTCCCTTGAGAATCCTTTTGAGATTGAAATCAATGGTGACACAGACCCACATCTTATACTCAAAGTGACCCTTAACTCTTCCATCATTGAAGATGAGTTGAGCTAGAGTTGTTTTGCCTAAGCCTCCCATCCCAATGATGGGAGTGACAGAAACACCACCTTCACTACTATTAGATTCATTTGATAGAATCTGATCTATTAATCTTTGTTTATCAGACTCCCTACCGAACACATCAGTAGTTTCGACAAAGGAACTGGTGAGTGGAAAGTCGACCGGACTTTGAGAACGAGACCTTCCACCATCACCACTACTTACATTGAGGTTGAAATCTCTCCTGTCTTTAGCAATCAAATCAAGTCTTTCTGAAATTCTTTTGATCTCAGATGCCGCACGGATTTTAGCTCGGATTCTACGAACCTTCCCGAGGCGAGCTTTGGCTGCAAAAGAGTCTAGTATGTCCTCCGCATCAAAAGCAGCATCTTTGAGCCTTGAGAGCCAGAGTCTCAACGATCGATCGCAAGCAGACCTCTGCTCAGCATCTTCAAGCACAGCTCTAATAGTTTCTAGAGTGTGTAACAGCTTTTTCAGATCCTCCTTAACACCCTTGATTGCAGCATATTCGTCGTGGATCAAGGTTGCAACAGTTTCAGCGAGCATGGAAACTATAGGACTCACGAAAATAGAAGCTATTTCAGCCATGACTACTTGAAATTGGTCACAACTCCTGAAACAAAGAAAAATATATTAGATTCATTTCATTCATATTAATTGTTATTCATTCATGGAAAAATCACACAACACCAGAAAGAGAAGTAACAACTCCGTTAGATTACACAAGAACAAAAACCTTAACAAGGGATTCGAATCAAGATGAATGGATTGCTTTGATTTTCCTTTGGTTCCTGCTTCTGCTATATATAGGTAAAGTTCACACGGTAGAGATACCTCCGAAACTTCTTAGTTTCTTCTTCCACTGCTGGTTTTGTAACTTCTGGAGGAAGAAAGACTTGGATCTGGTCTTCAACTTTACGTGTTTCACAATTGACAGTGTAGGGAAAAGAAGAAGAGAATAGTCATAGCAGTTCAGGTAGAAGTTGGAACAAGTCTTTTACTAGTAGTCGGTAGGTACTTGTAATTAATGTCCTCTTCTCTGCATATTTAGACTTTTCTGGCTCTCTAGAATTTATTACTTTGACGCGTTCTCATGTAAAAAGAAGGTGAGAATTTATGGTTCGAGGAAAAAAAAACTTGCAGCAAATTTCCTGGAAGTTTAATTTCCTTAATTTAGACTGTTCATCGGGTTTTACTCTATATATAAAGAAAGTGATTGAAGTCAACAGAGGACATTAAAGGTTTCTGGAGTCTATAGACTCTTTGATTTTGTTTGGGAACATAACATAAGCAATGAACTTTCTGAGGAAGAATGAGAAGAAGAAGAAGGAGGAGGAGGAGGAGGAAGACAACAAGGAGGCCTTCCTTGATCACAAGAGAAAGGTATATTCACATATATTTCTAATTATTTTCTCCAAAATCTCTATTTTCCTTAGATCCTTCATCCTCAATGGAATCATATACTACAACATTATCTATGATTTACATGATCAATCATGCAGAAAACCTGGGAAGATGCAAGGACTGGTCACAAATGCTTCATGTTGTACGCAAGGTCACTCTACGTCACATGGGGTGGCCGTGAGAATTGGATTTGGAACAGTTTTAAAGACACAAAGTCACTTTTCTCTTCTCTTCTCTTTGTTTTCAGTGATCCATTTCTGTAAATCTCCGTGGTCCTAAACTCTAATTATCTGATATTGCAGTGAAGAAAACATCGAAGTAGCGAAATTAAGCCATGTATGCTGGTTGGACGTGAGGGGGAAGTTCAAAATGTCAGAGCTTTCCCCAGCAACATTATACGAGGCTGTGTACGAGATAAAGTTGACAAAAGGAGCATCCGGTTGGGAACTCCCCGTCAAGCTCAGACTATATCCCCTCCCGAATGGCGACGGGTTCCAAGAAAGGCAAGTCAGTCTATTGGAGAAGCCTAGAGGGGAATGGATAGAGCTCAACGTCGGCGGTTTCCGTACACCGGAGAATATAGAAGAAGCTGCCGGAGAGATATGTTTTGACCTCTATCAACATGGTGGCCACTGGAAGAATGGACTTGTTGTCAGGGGTGCCATTTTAAGGCCTAAAACCTGAACCATTAGCTACTTCATATGACTTCTACTGTTAACAAACACACTAGTTTTGACTACTTTTCACGTTTTTGTATTCTTTGTATTTGTGGCCACTTTCCCTCTCTATAAATAAACATCTTGGATGCCATTGATATATCTAATTGATTTAAACACAATTATGTTGGAATCAAAATTGGATTTAGCTCCTTTATTTAAACTCAATTATAAATCTCCAAACTTGAGTTGGATCAAAATTGGATAACATTAAACATAATTAAAGATATTATTTTTTATGTATAACGATCGATATCTGATCTATTGATAGACTAATTCAGATCGGGTATTGCAGAGGCAATAGCTAACCTCCCAACTCAGTTTACTCTATTCACAATCGGTAGTATTCGAACCCTTGATATTATTTTGATTGTTAAATCTGAATAATTTTGATTGGGAAAAGAAATGTCATTTAACAATTGAAAGGAAGTGCAAAAGAAATGTCATTTAACAATTGAAAGGAAGTGCCTCAGATTAGTTGATTTTTGGAATGCTGAGTATAAGACTCACTTCAGTTGGATCCTAGCTAAGTTGTTCAAAATGAGGAGTGATGCTAGGAGGTTATTTTGTTCCAGCAGAAATTGGGACCAAATTAATGCTAGATGGATATGGGAAAACATTCGGAATAGGTGTGAGAAGGTTTGTTGGCACCGCCTGGTGTGGTTCCCTGGCCACATCCTAAAACTCTCACTGATTTCTTGGATGGCAATCTTGGATAGATTGCCAACAAAGGACAAACTTTCTAGGTTTGTTATTATAATGGATGGAGGCTGTGGTCTGTGTAGCTCTGGGCTTGAATCTCGTGATCATCTATTCTCTGATTGTGTTTTTGCAAGGGAAGTTTGGACTGCTATTCTTCTTGCCTGTGGTCTTACTCGGGCACCTCTTAGCTGGAGTGACTCTATTCACTGGCTGCTGCTCAACCTTAAAGGCAAATCTCTACTGGTGCACATCCTAAAGCTGGCTTGGACTGGGTTTATTTACTACATATGAGAGGAACGAAACCACAGACAATTTAGAGGCTTTCATCGTTCGGTTGGAACTGTTGTCAGTAGTATTAAAGAAGCTGTTAGAATAAAATTGTATAGAAGTCATATGAATAGGGTAGATGCTGTTAATAGGAAACTGTGTATAGATTAGGGTTTGGTGTAATGTCTTTGTGATTACGTTTTGTAGCAGCTTATGCTGCCTTCTTTTTGGATGAATGAATTTTACTTATCCAAAAAAAAAAACTTGACAGACCTGTTCTTGTCATGAGACATGGTTTTCAGGTAACAGTCTATCAATTATATTATTATCTAGTTTTTGTATGATGAAATTGAACAAGTTGTGGTCTTCAGAATACAAAATCAACATCAGGGCAGATTAAATACTTGGTATATTGCACGGAAAACGCGGTTATGAATTTGAAGGAAGATCAGGAGCAGATGGTGTGGTTAGTTGATTTCCAAGGGCTGGCAAAGGCGACCGTATCTGTTAAGCTGTCTCGGGAAACAACTCGTATCTTGCAGGATCACTATCCCGAGAAACTTGGCCTTGGAATCCTCTATAATCCTCCCAAATTATTTCAATCTTCCTGGATGGTACTTGTTATTACTGTTTTGGTTAATAATTGAATCAAACTTTTGTTGATCGAATTAATTAAATTATAACTTGTGTATCAAGAAATAGTACCCAACACAGATGCTTCGGATGGTTTTAAAGGATTCAAACTCTTTGGCAGATGTTGAAGCCATTCCTTGAGCCTAAAACATACCAGAAAGTGAAGTTTGTGTATTCCAATGATCCGGAGAACCGGAAAACTATTGAAGAAATCTTTGATTTGGATAAGTTGGATGTTGCATTTGGTGGAAGAAACATGTCGAGATTCGATTATCAAGCCTAGGCGCGACAGATGAAGGATGATGACGGAAGAACATAGAGTTCCCTGCAATCCAGTTGTTCATTGCCGCTGCCTCATCTTTCATCGATTTTGGCAGAACCATATTGTTCTGAGTCACCGGACGATTTTAATGCATCAGATGAAGGTGGATTATGGTCTGACGACGAAGCTACTCCGTCGAATTTGATAACCAAACCAAATTCGAATCGAACTTGATATATCCAAATCAAATACTGAAATACTGTAGATTCTTCTACTTGATTTTAATTTTTCGATTAAGGGTATTTTAGATAAATGTATTATTATAATAACTTTTTTTTGGATAAATAAAAGAATATTATTACCCAAAAGGGAGCAGTAAATTGCTACAAACAGACATCAAAACAGATACAGATACAATATAGGCATCAAAACAGTTTCAGACATCAAAACAGCCAAAGTGGAGCATGACCAACCAACATAAAGGTTAGTCAATACCCCATTGGATACAAAGAGAGATATTAACTCTATCTATTCTATTGATTATCCTATCTCTTAGTTGAATTCTAACAAACTCCTTAATAGCTTTAAGGATTTCATCAACAGTTCTTGAGCTTCTTCGGAATAACCTTTTGTTTTTTTCTTCCTAAAGAGAATAAATAAATGCAGTCCATGCAAGCTTCAGAATATTTATTAGGAGGGAGTTACCTGTCTAGGAACCACATGCCCAGGATATTTGATGATCCCAGGATAATAAAGATCTCCGCAAGCCGGTTAGTAGTAAGATTTCCTTCCATAGAGAGCTTGCTAGTGGACATTCCATGAACAAGTGATATCTTGTTTCCTGTGCTTCTTTACATAAAACACATAAACCATCAATAGCAATACCCATATGTTGTAATCTAACTTTAGTAGGAAGTCTGTCCAAAATAGCCATCCAAGCGATCATGCTGTGTTTAGGAATGTGGAGGGGAAACCAAATCATACTACTCCAGTGAACTTTGTCTCTCTTAACCCTAGTCTCTTCCCAAATTGCACGAACTGATGTTGCTCCGGTTGAGAAAACAACGTTGACTTCACTCCTTAGTTTTAGTAATTTTCTGAAGGTCCAGCTGGTATTAGTACCGCTATCAATGTGCCAGAAGTCTTTATCGTTGAGGACGTAGTTGTTTAGCCAAACAACCCACAATGAGCATTAACTCGCTAGGATACTGCGAATAAGCTGGATCATACACGCCTTATTCCACATTTTTAAGTCCTTTAAACCAAGTCCTCTTCCAAGTTTCGGTTGGCATATCGTTCCCCAGCTTACTCGAGCTCCAGTAGCCGCTTTATCTGAACCTTTCTAAAAAAAGCGAGAACAGAGTTGCTCAATCTTTTCAATAATAGATTGAGGTAGAAAAAGTTGTATGCACCAGTAGTTAGCAACACTAAACAAGACCTCTCTTATAAGTTCAAGTCTACCTGCATAAGACAAGAGTTTACTTGACCAGTGGTAAAGCCTGGACTTGATATTATCAATGAGAACGGCACAGTCCTTTTCAGAGAGTTTCCTAGTGACCAAAGAGACTCCTAGGTATCTCACAGGAATGCATCCTTGCTTGAACCCCGTAGTTTTGTTAATGGACTTCAGGGTATTAGAAGAAATACCAGCTGTGTAGAATTCGCACTTGGCCGCATTTAACTTTAGGCCAGACATTTCATAGAATTTTTCTAAAACAGTAGTGACTCCAACAACCGATTCCAAATTTCCTTTGCAGAAGATTAGAAGATCATCCACAAATATTAAGTGAGTGAGCCCTATCTTCTTACATTTAGGATGGAAGCCAAACATACCTCTCGCAGTAGCCAAATTGAGAATTTTAGACAACACATTCATTGCGAGGACGAATAAGAAAGGGGAAAGTGGGTCACCTTGCCTTATACCTCTTTCACCCTTGAAGTATCCAATCAGGCTTCCGTTGAAGGAGATGGAGTATCTTGTATTTGAGAAACAAGCTTCAATCCAGTCAATGAAGGTTTTTGGTAGCTGTATAGCATTTAGAACTGAAGAAATAAAGCCCCAGTGAAGAGTGTCAAAGGCCTTTTGAATGTCAATCTTCAAAGAACATCTGGGGGAAATTGATTTCCTTCCATAGCCTTTCACAATTTCATGTGCAATGAGAGTATTGTCTACGATACTTCTACCTTTTACAAAGGCAGTTTGATTTGGAGTAATCATCACTGGAAGTAAATTGGTCAGTCTTTTTACTATTATCTTAGTAATTATCTTATAAACAACAGAGCAGTATGAAATTGGCCGGAAGTCTTTGACCTTGCTTGGGTTTGGCACTTTAGGCACCAAGGCAATTGTGGTAGCATTGAAAGCTGAGAGCAAGTATGTTTGTTGGAAGAAGTGTTTTATTGCGTCTACCACATCCCATGATTTTTTGAAAAAGTAAGGTGTGAATCCATCCGGGCCAGGGGCTTTGTCGTTACCTTTATTGAAAATGTCTTCCTTAATCTCCTCTTTTGATACTTCCTTAGTTAGATCAGATGAAGCTTTAGGGGGAAACGTAAATTGCAGCATGCTTTTAAGTAGAGTGGGATTTCTCTCGGATACATTGAGATCTGAAGTACCCAGAAGTTTGGAGAAGAATGTAGTCACCTCAGAGGCCATCATGTCAAAGGATTCAAGTCTTCTTCCTTGTTCGTCAACAAACACCCTGATTGTGTCGCGTTTGTGTTTGACTGCCACGGCCGAATGAAAAAATTTAGAGCATTTGTCACCTTCATTTATCCATTGAGTTTTGGCCTTTTGCTTTAAGAACATAAGCCCAGCCTCTTCTAGAGATGTTAACTCTTTTTGTAAGATAAGCTCTTTCTCGCAGTTGTTTTCACCTCTGAGAGTAGAAAGTTGATGTTGTTCCAGCTCCTTCTGTTTATGCTTAATTTGAATTGTTATGTCACTGTAGCATTCCTTGTTGAGTTTCCTTAAGCAGGATTTGAGGCGTTTGTGAAAGAGAACATGCATAAGGTTGCCCTGAATAGTTGGTTGCCAGGAATATCGTACCTCTTCCAAATAATTGGGATGAAGAGCCCAAAAATTGATGAATTTGAATGGCTTCAGTTTATTTGCCTGAATTTCTTTGTTGAGACAAACTAAGGCCATACAATGATCAGAGGGACCCAGAGCAAGGAATTCAACAAATGAATTTGGAAAAATTTTCACCCATGTAATATTGATAAGAACCCTATCAA